CAGGAAAATGAGAACCTTGAGAAATCACCTCTGAAAATAAACTTGGTGAAACTCTCATTGCATATAGTGTGGTAAGCTTTACCATGGACTATACAGTGGGTTGATTTATTGAGACATTAACTTAGGTTTATTCTGATTGTATTCCTCCCGCCGCCCCCCCACCCCCTTACTATTCTAAGAAGGTAGTCAGGCCTTTGTCTTCTCCCACCTCTGGAATTCAAGGTTGCAAGAGAGAGGGCAGAGTTGCCCAAACACAGCCCTCACGCATTGGGAATTCGTTTCTCCAAATCCCCCCTGTTTGAGAGCACTGAGCTTGGTCAGCCCAAAGAGTGATGGAGAGGAAATGATCTTCCAAGACTGGGAAGGTGGGAGTGGGCAGATAGGTCTCGGTGGGGGAAATGTCTCTGTTCCCTAATAGCTGCCTTGGAGGAAAATCATCTGGGAGCAATACCTGGTGTGGTGCCCCTCACAGTGAATCCTTATTCCTGGGACTGCCGCCATCTTTCCCAAGATCCCACATTTCAGAAAACAATGGAGTGCCCAACTTCTACAGATAACATGGGCTTGGACACTGAGCAGGGCACGGGAGCTCCCTGAATACTGTAGATTGCATAAGCCTTCCAGGGACTGGAGCGGGGAGGGAGGAAGCCCCTGTAATGATGACATTTTAATTTCTCAGCCCCTGGAAATTGGCAGTTTGGAGTCAGACTTGATTTGATTAGAAAATGAAGTGATGTGATAAGCCAAGCGTGCTGAAATTACATTGTGCCTAATACAATTGTGTACATGAAAGCAAAATATTAGCTTGAAATGAATGGTCATGCATAAGAGCGAGGAATAAGTTTGTAAGAGCTTCTCCCATTTCTTTTTTTTTTTTTTTTTTAACCTTTGCTTTCCCTTTTGTAAGACTCCCATGCCAGATTATTTTCAACATGTAATACCTTCTTGGTCTGAAGGGCCCCCAACGGAGATAAGTGATATCCATGAGGGCCTCTGGGGAGCCATAGGAAGACCAAAGAAATGGAAAAAGGAAAAGGAGATGAGAAGAAAAAGAAATGATAAAGAAGACGAAGGAGAGAAAGCAAAGTCTACATGTAGACAGAATAGATGCACTTGTATGGCACATGGCTTCTGGCCAGACCAAAGGAAGACACCCAAGCTGGTTCCTCCTTTTCCTGTTCTCTCCATGTCTCTTCTACTTTATTTCCTATTTGGTCAGCCTGTAGTCATCCCACACCCCTCATCTGTCTCCAGGCAACAGATACTTCGTTCCTAAGCCCTGGCTGGCTTGGCAGAAGGCACTAAGAAAGCATCTAGGGTTGAACCTCACACAGACCTGCATTTCCAATCTGGCTCTGCCAGCCTGTGGCACCAAGTCGTGGGCACTGAGTCAAGAGCAGCGTTGCATGGGTCGTAGGGGTCAGTGTCCACTCACCAAAACTCTAAGATTAGTTTCTTCTTGTTAGCCTTGAATGGGCACTGGTGCCAACGGAGGGCTGGCCCGAAGAGGGGCCAGAGGGCACTGATGAGTACCCATGGTTTTACAATCATATCTGCAAGTACCCCTGATCTGGGATGTCTGTCTACTTCATGGGTTCTCAAATTTCACCAGGCATTGGGATTACAGGAGGGCTTATTAAAACATGGATGGCTGGGACCTGGCGTTCGTATGTCTGATGTCAGCAGCCTGGGCGGGGTGGGGCAGAAGGTCCCAGGTGCTGCTGGTGCGGCTGGTCCAGGAGCACACTGTGAACATCACTGACCCAGTTCGTTCTCACACCGAGGCCAAAGTGATTGGTTGAAAGTCTTGCTTTTATGATTTCCCTTTTCTGCCTAAAATCCTTCAGTAGCTCCCTACAAGATACATTTTGGGGTGTCAGCTGAGCTGGAAATGAAACAACATTTTCCTTGGGGAAGAGGTCGGAGACCACCTCCTCCCCACCTCCTCCTTTTTGAGCGTCTCCTGGGAATATGGGCTCCAAAAAGGCCCACCTTTTGATCTTATGATGCAAGGCCTTCAGCCTTCTGACCTGTGGATCCGTAAATACTTACTTCTAGAAGGAGCTCGGGGCTGTCCAGGTATAGGGGAGACGACCACGGAGTCCATGCATTCACCTCTCAAGGAGATGAGAGAAAATGTAATTGTCGTGCCTCCTACTTCACTGTAGACCTTCGTGTGAAGTGCTGGGCAGACTCAGTGGATGCTTTCACTGTACCCGTATATGCATGTAAATCCGTACCCTCACCAACAAACTGCATGCTCTCTCCTCTCTCTCCATTTGTTGGCAGAAAGAGTTTTGTGTTTTTTCAATTTTTTTTTTTTTTCTTGGCAGGATGGTCTTATTTCCCCAGCACAACCCTAACTACTTTATTCTTCTCTGAGAACCACCCTGCCGCCTGGGATGATGCAATTAGGTTCTATCTCCCAAGAATGTGGAGTCAGTATTGACAGACACCATGTGCAGAGTGGGTAAAGGGAGGGGGAGAGGGAGGACCAGGGAGAGAGAGGGAGAGGGAGACAGTGAGGCAGACATGCATAGAGAAGCAGAGGTACTCATTCTTGGGGACTTTTCGTCTGGAGTGCGGTTCCAGCGAGTTCCAGCTACCAACCCCCCACCCACGTCCTGCCAAAATCCCTTTTGGAGTTATGCTGGTTGCAACCAAAATAATGTGCGCTGAGATATTCCCATAGCCCTCATAAGGAAGTCCAGATTCCCGGGCACGGTAACAAAGCTCTCCACGATCCCACGCCTGTTTAGTCCTTCACCTCCTATCTCAACACCTTCACTTCCTACTCTATGTTTCAGTCACATCAAACTACTTTTTAGCTCTTTCCACTCTTCAGGCCTTAAGCGTGCTGTTTTCTCTCTGCTTGCATCCCTCTCTTCTCACCTTTGCCTGGTCTATACCTAGTCGGTCTTCACATATCAGTGTAGGTGTGGTGCTTCCTCCAGGAAGCCCTCCCAGATATACAGCTCTTCTCCACATTCTTGGAGTACGTTTAGCTGCCTGGTGACTTGCCTTTCTTTCTCCCTAGATTTTGAGCTCTGTGAGGGCAAAGACTGAGTCTCAATCGCTGTTGTATCTGGGTGTCTAACATAGAAACCGGTACTTGGTGGGCACTCAATAAACACTGATCAAATGAATGGAGTGCCTCTTTGCCATCAGTCACCTACCCCAGTGGCAGACTGACAACAGCGAAAAGAAAACATGAAAATGACTTTGGCCTCAAGCCATATAGACTGTCATTTAGAAATACTCCTGAGGTAAAGAATCAGACATTGCCATGGTTTGAGAATATCCTATTACCTTCACTGTATCCCCATCTCCCTACCCCCCTTATTTCATCATTGTGCCAGGGTTTCCAGCTAGAGAAAAGGTCTCTTGCATGTATTGATTCAAATGTGCTGCATCACCAGGGAGATTTCGAGTATAAGGTTAGAATTTAGCATATCAGAAATCTAATCCATTTGAGATCTCTCAAAGAGGTTTGCCTTTGGGTCATTTAGCACAGGCTTTCATAGTCACTGACAACTGTTGTCATGGTAATCATGGAGCCTTTCATGATTTTTGTAGATGAGTTAATGAAGATACTGGAAACAGCCCAAAGGAATTCATACTTGGGTGTGCGTTTGTCTCCATATTAACCCAATCATTGTTTTGAACACACATCTGCCCCTGGGCTGATTCTCTTGGCTCTTGGTACCGACAGGAATAAATAAACAACTGATTCCTTTTTAGGATTTTAGGCTTGGAGGCTGTGGATGGCTGCTCTTTTGGTCTCATTTCAACAGGAAATCCCACATGGAGGGTTTAAAGGAGCAGAAGGGAAAAAGAATGGTGTGTGAAGCAAATATCTTTCTTTTATTTCAAATTATTAATGTTGCTGATTGCCAGCATCTAAATTTAATGCCTGTGAAGAAGTTTCAGTTGTGGGAAGCACAGAACATTGACTATATCTACAGCATTTCTTTCATGGTCCTTTATAAATATACCTTCACTTAGGCCTCCATCAAATGCACAAATTTAGATCCAGATATCTGAGAGTGTTTACAGTATTGGAGTGTGAGATTTTCCATCTATGTCCTGTCCTGCTAGTGATTTCCCAATATCCATTCTTCCTTCTTTCCTGTAATACAATCCCTTACTTTTAGCTAGGCATGTGGATGCTTGAAATGAAGACATTTCCCATTCTTCCTTAAAGCTGGCCAATGACATTTAAGTAGAAGTGGTGTATTTCACTTGCTGGACTTATCTTTAAAGGGGTGGGTATGTGTCCTTCTTCATCTCTTCCTGCTGACAGGAATGTGGATGTGATGGATGGAGCTGGGGCACCCATTCTGGGCAATGAGTTGAGAGCCATGTTGAGGAGAGCAGAATGACAAGACAGAAGGGGTCCAGGTCCCTGGAGACTGTAAACCTTCCATAAAAGCCCAAACTGACTATGTTTACAGGAGAAAGAAGCTTTGCTCCTATTTAAGCAATTGTTATTCTGGGTTTTCTGTCATCTAATTTTAACTGATTATCCAAAAATGAAATTTATTTTTCCTCTTTCCACTGATGAGGTGTGAAACCTTATGCGCTTTTCTGTGAGATTTACCTTCTTATCCCAGAGCATGCTGGAAGGTGAACATGTTTGCATTAGCCAGACTCAATTTTCTGGTATGGAGAATTGAGACAGCATTTCAATGGCAAGAAACTAGCTACTCCAGCTTAGCCATAGAGACTTAATGTTGCCCGGCCTTTGTATGTACATTTTGAAATTTTCCAATATGATGGGACCACATATCTTTTACCCTAAAATCAGCGCTCCTATTTCAGATGCTTTTGTGGAATGAGGTAGGCGGTAAATAATAATTACTACTAATTAGACTGAATGCAAAGTAATTGAAGGAAGACCAAGAAACCCCAAACCTTCCAAATTATCTGAAACAAGCATAACAGCCCAATACACGGGAGATACAAGTCTTATGCTAGTAAGGAACTGCAGTTTTACTTACTTAACTTGGGCCTTTTAATCTTCTTTGTCATGTCTTTATTTGAGTGTATTCCAGTCGCCAGCAAAACTACATGAAAAAGAAAATTGAAGAAAACCTAATCAGTATCATTTTACCTAAACACTTTCCTTTGACCCTTATCTTTGCTTCGATCCCATGTTAAAATATTCTCATTGGTGGAACTAATTTTCCCTTAAATGAAGGTCGGGGAAATAAGATGATTAGTTTGTGTTTTTGTCCTCCGCGGAAACAGGCCTTTCAAAAACATCTCTTGGATACCTGCCCTTTGCTTTTCTTCACATTTCACCACATCAACTCCCCTCTCTTCATTTCCAAAGGAGGAAATGTGGGCCTGGAGAAGTCTACTCTTTGCTTGGTGCAGAAATAAATGATGGAGGAAGGATGAGCACCAAGCTCTGCTGGCGCTCTTTCCTCCGGTCCACACTCAGTTTCCAAATGGCTAATTCCCCTCTAGTCGGAGAACTCCATGCGCATGCGCATGCCTGTGTGCTTGTGTGCATGTCTGCGCATGTGCATGCGAGTGAGAAAGGGAGGGTTGGCAGGGAAAGGTAAACTAGGAGGAGGGGGACTGGGGAGAAGAGGGGGACTGGTCGCAGGGTCTTAGGTGTGACCTGGGTGTCCCCTGTTGGTGCAGCACCTGGTTCTGTGCCCCATCAAGGCCAACTGCAGGTAGGTGACCTTTCCCCTCAGAAACAGGAATAGAACAGCTTTTGGAGACGGCTGTCTTAAGGAGGTGTAACACCAGAGGAAGGAGGGGGGAACTCTCTCCTTTTTAATTCGAAGTCACGTTACCAGTTTGAGCCTTGTGTTTTTAAAAAATAACATTGGCCAGTTTTTCTTATTTCCAAAATAGTACACGTTCCTCACTGAAGGATGTAAAAAACACAAAGAACAGTAAGGAAAATATAAATATAGATGAACACAAGAGTATAATATTTTTGGGGTTTTTTTCTATATGTGTACTTATTCATGCAGGTGCTCAAACAAACCTTTGATCATGCTCACACCGTTTACAATGTTTTATAACTTATTTCTACTTGAGGATATATACAAACACTTTTTCATGTCATTAAATGTGCCTCTCACAATAATTTTAAGTGTGGGCAAGGTATTGCACTGTATGGATGTATCAGAATTTAGCTAACATCTGATTTAATATAAATTGCTTCATCTCCACACGGATCCTTTGTTATTTCCTTTAAATAAATTTCCAAACAGGATTTCTTGTCTGAGAGACATGCCCACTTAAAATTTCAATATGTATTATGAATATTTCTCATAGCATTTTTTTTTTTTATTAGCAATGTCTGAAAACGCTCATGTCTCTACCAATGTGAATTCTACCTGCAGATAGAAAAGCAATGTTTTCCCTTCAAAAGGCTGGTCAATTCTCCATTCTCCTTCCTTCCTCTCTAGGTCTCCCTTCTACCCTACCCACCCAAAGCTGGTACTGTTTCCCGCGTCTCTATTTTAGCCACGTTTTTGAGAACTCACTTTGTGGATGGGGTTGGGACTCCAGAGGTAAACATGGAGAGATAGAGTAATCAAAACAGGCATTCTACTTCCTGCCGTGTGTGTGTGTGTGTGTGTGTGTGTGTGTGTGTAACACAACTCAGATGCTCAACGTAAGCATACATGGACTTAGGAATTCTTGAATTGGCAACTACCTTTGAAGGAAAATGTCACCAGCATTCGTTAAGAAAACTTTGTATTTATCTTGTGATTAGCTAGTCTGCACCAATGGTACAGCCCTTGAATTATCCCCAGTTTCGACCTTTAATGTTAAGCGGAGGCCTGGACAGTTGACATACCATATCCTGCAAGAACAGACACATGAAAGAGAACTGAATGAGACCCAGAAGTCGAGCCAGGTGGAATGAAGGCAGACATTTTTTACGTGTTATTTACTTCTGGGGTTTGGGTGGGTGTGAGTGTCCTGGAGGTCTAATTTTTATAGTGGTCTCTGTGTCATTGAACTCTGTGCAAAGACACATCTTCATTTTATCCACGAAAACAACGAGCCCTAGAATATTTAAAAAAAAAAGAAAAGCAAGTACTAAATAAGTATATAGAAGAAAATTAAGTAGAAGGAGTAAATGAAATAGTAAGTAATACATTTGGGTATCAATATTTGTGGAAAACCAAATACTGTCCTCCCAGGTCTGTGTGCCTGTGGCAAGTGGTTTACAAGTCTCTGTATCATTAGGACTATAAATACATCGGTAAGACCACCCCATCACTCGCATTTGCTCCCCCATGACCCTCCAGGCTGAAAACATGCATAACTGGGCTCAGTTTTACCACAGTGGTTAATAAAGTCATTATTTTCAATGGAACGCAGAGGCCCTCTCCTTGGCCTAGATGCTTGTTAATTAAAACTCTCCAGAAACCACTCCTCAAGGGGAGGGCTGGTCAATAAGGCTGCAAATGTGCTTGTGCCCTGGAGCAAGTCTTCATTCCTCACATATAAGGCTTCCCTCCCTGCACTGGAAATGGTGAATTGACTGTTGAATTTGGGAAAGAGAAAAATCAGTCTTGTGTTGCCTTTCTTAGGAAGTCAGGCAGAGCGCAGGGATGGATGACCAATAAGGGATGGATGGCCAATACTCACTTCCGAGGACAAAGTGGACCACAGGTCTGAAAGCCAATCCCTTCTGTAGGAGTAGCTAGTCACCGGGCTATGGAGGCCATTAGTGTCTAGAAGGCCTGAGGATGTTAAATCTAGAGGCCAAAGTTCCAAGGCAATCATGGTTTATGAAATTTGTTGCAATACTTCTCAATTGTTGAAAATTCAATATTCTAGTTTTGAGTAACATTGAATAAAGGGAATACGGTTCTCACCTTTTGATAGTAGTGCTTGAAATTACCAAACCAACGAACTGTTGACATTACTTTTTCAAAGAAAAGATTTCCCCCCACTTCTCACTCTCTTCCTCTTTAGAGTAGCCATGAGTACAGTTGAGAGGGCTGAGGTGTGATTGTTTTAAAATTCAATTTAAATAAATTATCATCCAGATAGCTTATAGATAAATACAAATGAGTTGGCTTAAAATGATGTTCGGTCTCATTAATGACAAGAAATGCAAGGTAAAGCCAAACATGATAGTTTCTCTTATCATGTCAGTAAATATTGAATAGAAGATTATACTTAATCTTGGCATGGATTTGAGATGATGGCATTTAGGTACACTGCTGGTAAAGTCTAAGCAGGTACAGTCATTCTGGAAAGTCATTTGGCAATATATGTCAGTAGCCTTAAAAATATTTCTATTCTTTGTCCTAGAAAATATGCCCCTAGGAATATATCCCAAGTTATAATTAGAGATAAAGATAAAAAGTGAGGTAAACAAATGTCCATTACAGCATTATATATAATGGCAATCTGGAAATAATGAAATGTTGGAAATATCCCAACAATGGGGGTATCCTGAGCATTTATTACAAATGATGTGTTAAAGAATATTAAACGGCAAGTGCTCAGTTCTAAACTTAAGAATGATTTTGACAAAGTTAGAATATATGCAGAGAGAAATAACATAGCAAAATGTTAATGATGGAATTATCATTTCTATTTTCTATATTTTCCCCATTTTATAGTGTATTCCATATATGTATTCCATATTTTATATAGAATATGTTTCTTTTACAATTAGAAAAAGGCAAAATGTTTTATAATTGGGTCATGTTGAAATCATATAGGCTTATGATAATGCAAAGTCCATTCCAAAATCATTGGTATGATTAATAGGCACTTGTGTCCCAGTTCTCCCTATCAATAATGAATTATAATCAGAATTCACTTACTTTCAAGAAAAGACATGAAGGGCCAGAACATCTAATCAATGACCAAATCAGGAAGTACTTACTGAAAACTTATTATGTGCCGAGAACTTTTATGGAAGTGCCTCGTTTTAGCCCATAAACTTTTTGATAGATCCCTTCAGGACCCCTGAAGACACTAACTCCGGTGGTGTTGACAAAAACTCTCTCCTTGACCAAACTTTAATTCAACTCCTCCAGACCCTCTTCCCAGCTGGCCTTTGACCGTGGGCTTCATTGTCTCTCCTTGTTGATTCTGCATCACTCGGTTTTAGCAAGAATCCTGTTTAGAGAGAATCCTCCACCCTTGATACCTGATCGCCCTGGTCTGCCTTTAGCAAGAACCCCCCACCCTTGATGTCTTCACTCAGTAATTTCCATCCACTGACCCATGCGACTTGCTGCTTGGATAGAAATCTCCATGTTCCTTGTTGTATTTGGATTTGAGCCCAGTTCTATAGTGCGATCTCCTCTACTGCAATAGTTCCTGATTACAATCTGTTTTTACCTCTTTAAACACTATCCAGCTCTGGTTCTCTTTAAGTGTCCACAATGCCTTCCTGAAAACTGATTTACGAGGCAGGTCATTTTAAAGCAGTTCAAATTTCCCCCATGCTTTAATTTGGGATTATGTTCTCAATGAAACATCTGGCATTAAATAAATCAGAGCTTCATAGCAAAGACAGGACAACTTACTCTCTACAATCATATAAATCATACAGTTATGCTTCAGATCACAAATATTAAAGCTGGGAGGAGCTTTGCAGGTTATCCTTTTATTTTATAAAAAAGAAACAAAGTTCAAGGTTAACACCTTGGCTAAAGCGGCAGTTATTTGGGGGCAGAAGTTGGAACCAGAACGCAAGTTTGCTGGCTACTGTCTTAGCCCATGTATACCACTTGCTCCCCATAGGTGCAGTTGTTGAATTTGACGCCGTCTTCAGGTAGGTAGAGTCAGAATTGAGTTAAATTACAGGACATTCAGCTGGTGTTGGGGAATCACCTTGTGTGGTGAAAAAACCCACACATTAGAATTGGGTACAGAGTTGGGCTCTGATACCTTAGAAATCCAGCATCCCTAAGGAGGACAATTTATTTCACGATTATTCTTGAGTGCCGGTGGGATGTGTCAAGCACTGGCAATGCACCAGCTCTTGCCTTCAGTGAGTTCACAGCTTTGGGGGACCTGGGCTAGTGGCAAGGCAAATGCCATGCAGCTATGATGAGAATCAATACAGGGTGCAATGGCACACTTAGAAAGATGACCTGATCAAATGAGGGGCTGAGGGAAGCTTTCTGAGGACGAGTAGGGCTTGGGGAGGTATGGAGGCAAGAGGAAGAACATTCCAGGAAGGGGAACAGCATGGTCAAAGGCCTGGAGGGGAGAAATGATGTGAGTCTCAGGGGAATGAGAAAGTCAGTACTTTTCAGGTCCCTGGAAGCCAGAGTGGACTCCGTGGGGAGCAAGGAGCACAGAAGACAGCAAGGACCATATCAGGAAGGCCTTCCCAACAAGCAAGGCACTTTAATTGATATGGACCCCATCTCAAAGACAAAAGGGAAATACTGAGGAGTTTAACTCAAGAGTGGTGATCAGACATGGGCTTTAGAGAGATTGGGGTATGGTAGAGAAGGAGTTAGAGGGGTCAGGATTTGGGGCAGGGAGGCTGTCATGGGTACCAAGGAGCATGACAGGGAAATGGTCCTGGGATGGAGACCAGCAGATGAACAAGAGAGATGCCAGGGAGGCAGACGTGTGAGGACACAGAGAGGGGATTTTGTGACAGGAGTCTCCTTTGTCTGCTTTGATTTCTCACTTTCTGAATGAGTAGCCCTGAGGGGAGAGAGTTTTGCAGAAAGGCAGGCTGAGTCAGGCTGGGACCAGGAAGGACAGTCAAGTCTTCCTTCTTGGTTCTGTGATGCAGGGGACATGCTGAGTATGAAATGGCCTCAGGGTTTGCTTGTTTTGTTTGTTTTACAGTCACTAAAGCCTTCTTATTTCTGACTCTCTACCTGCCCTAAATAAGAAACCTGCTAACAGGCGAGTGATTGTGGGAGAGGGCAGCCTCTCAAAGGACAAGGTCCAAGTGAAGGAGCCTGAGTTTCCCAGGTGAATATCCTTCAGCAGGTTGGTGGGGGAGTCTGGACCAGAACCCATGTGAACCCTCCGACTCCCAGTCTAGTCTCCTTCCACCAGGTGAAAGCCCTCTTGCCTTCTCAGCTGTGTTACCTCTTTCTCTTCCATTTACCAATTCTGCACAGTTGGGCCTCTGTGTAGACGCCCTCTGCACAGACCTTGAACATTCAGACTATGTTATGGGTTTAATTTTGTCCATCCTAGATTCATATGTTGAAGTCCCAGCCCCCAATACCGAATATGACCTCATTTTGAAATAGGCTGCTTGCAGATGTAATGATTTAAGTTCTGATGCGGTCCTACTGGACTAGGTTGGGCCTCTAATCCAATATGTTGGATTATAAGTGTTATAAGAAGGGGGAAATTTGGGCGCACACACAGATGCACACACAGAGGGGTGTGACGTTAAGAAGTGCCAAAGATGGCCGGCAAACAACCAGAAGCTGAGAGAGAGGCATGGAACAGACTCTCCACCACAGCCCTCTGAAGAAACCAAGCCTGCTGACACTCTGAGTTTGGACTTCTAGCTTTCAGGACAGTGAGCGAATAAAATCTTGCCATTTGAAGCACCCCCCCCCCCCCCCCCCCCCCCGGTTTGTGGTATTGTGTTGTGGCAGCCCTAGTGAACAGATAGACTGCCTGAAAGGGCTTTGCACACTTCCCTGGCATTAGTATCACAGCCATCCGTGGGGTCACTCTATCCAACATGGTTGGGGTGCAGTGGGGTTGAAATTACTAGAAGATTACCCTTGGGCTTAAAGCTAAACCCGTCAACCCTCTTCTCTCTTCTGGGCGAGCTTCTGCTCCTCCAGAGCCTACCCAAAATTGTGTTCCCTGCTGATAATGGGTAAGGGTTTCATCTCCAAAAGTATGGGTCACCAGTGGTTACAAGTAAGGTCATGTTAGTGATAATAATTTTTTTTTTTTTGAGGAATAAGAAACAAGAATGTTCCCAAATTCAGAATCCGTAAATGTGCTCTATCTGCAATGTTGGCTAGTTGCTGAAGAATGCACAGATATGTGCATATAAATGTGTGTAATATGTACAAACATGTAATACATACATTGCCTTATACAAAAATATATACACACTTATATCCTGAATTCGATCCACAGTTAACATTCTCACTGAAACTTCCCTCCAAACTATGTATCATAAAAAGATACACTGTGCTGTTTACATGCACTGTCTTGGTTTAAACCTTTTCTTGGCAAGATTCTTTGGACTTTAGGAAAATGTTAAAAGTGTATCCAGATACACATATAAAAGTACTTACCAAGGAACATTTCAATAACAGATGCCTTCATAGTGAGGACAACAATCCCCATAAAAATCAAAATGGCACCCTGGAGAGGAAGAAACAATAACACCGTCACATTTCAGCCAAGAGTTCTGAAATTGGACTCATGGAGTGGGGCGGCGGGGCGGGGAGGGCTGCCTCGTTTTGCATCGCTCCCTGGAGTCTCAGGATTCTAAGTGGCAGCTTGCTCTAAGGAGCCCACAGAGATGGCAGTGGCCAGCCTCACTGGTACCCAGAACCCCTGCTGGCCACTAGTCCCTATTCTTCACAGGTTTGGTCTTTACTTAGAACCGAAGACAAAGTAACTCCACAATTTCGGGAAGATGCTCAACCAGCCTTTAAATTAGGACAAAAGCTACACTTATGATATTGAGAGAACATTTTTGGATTACAAGTAAACAATGCATTCCTCATTCAATAAATATTGATTAAATTCCTATTATATGGCTAGGTATTATTAGGGAGGAAGTGATGGAAATGGAACTAATAAAGGTTTCTTAAAAGACTTATATTTTAAAAGAAGTGGGAAGACATGTGTAGATACAAATAACCATAACGTTAGTAAGTGTGCCAGGCTCCATAAGGGAATAGAAGAGGCGTGTGTAGACCAGTGGTTCTCAAACTTTGCTGCATATTAGTATCGTCTGCGAGTTTTATTTTTTCAAAAAAAATTTTTTTTAACGTTTATTTATTTTTGAGACAGAGACAGAGCATGAACGGGGGAGGGTCAGAGAGAGAGGGAGACACAGAATCGGAAGCAGGCTCCAGGCTCTGAGCCATCAGCCCAGAGCCCGACGCGGGGCTCGAACTCGCAGACCGTGAGATCGTGACCTGAGCCGAAGTCGGACGCTCAACCGACTGAGCCACCCAGGCGCCCCACGTCTGCGAGTTTTAAAAGGCCCTGATGTCCGGGCTGCACCTCAGACTAATTGCATCAAAATCTCTTAAGGTGGGATCTAGCATTGTGTTTTTAAGAACTCCCCCAGGTAATTTCAATGTGCTGACACATTTGAGGACCCGTGGTTTAGAGCAAGACTTGCTAAATCTTACATGCATAGGAATTACCTGAGATTTTGTTAAAACGCAGATTCTAATCCAGTAGGTCTGGGATACTGTCAGAGATTCCCTAGGAGGCCAGGGAATTTTAGAGAAAGGAGAGATAATGACAGCCATGGAGATAAGAGAAAGCCTCCTAGAGGTGGTAGCATTTGATCAACTTTGAAAGACCAACAGTTTGGACATGCAGAAATAGGGAGAAGTGACCCCAAGGTCACTTGGGGGAGGAACAGCACTGACAGGAGCTCAGAGGTTAGCATAGAGGATATGAAGATGCTATCGATCTGTATGGGGTTTCCTCCTTCTCTTGAGGCTATGAGGAAACTCTAAAAGGTTTGTTCATACTACCATTACTCATTACATGGAGCACATACTGTGTACTCTGTTGCCTCAAATCTTCACGATAAGCCAGTGTGGCAGATTTTATGATGCCTTCAGGAAAGTAAGGCTTAGAAAGGTTAAATGTCACATCCCTGGTGACCAGGGTGGTCAGTAGGACCGGAATGGAGGTGGAGTAGGTAGGAAGGATCTGCCCTGGGCACAGGCAGTGAGGAAGAACATTGTCTGAAAGAATTTAAACGCTTAAGGTTGGTCTGCTTTTTATTACCTTTATAAGCTAGCAATTCTAAGCAATGTCAGTGATAAAGCACCCCTGTCTTCTGGGGTGCATGGCTCTCTGCCCAGTGCCATTGCTGTGTGGCCTAAATCTGGCATTCATACCCTGCACTCTGCTGTCCCCAGTGGTGTTATTCTCTGGGGCAGGGAGACAGGGAAAGCCCCTGACTTGTGGCGTTTGTTGATTTCTGTGTAAAAATTCCATGGCTGATGACGAAGCCACCAAAGTAGAGAATTGGGAACACCATCTAGTACTAGCTAGGTCCGGTGCAAGCTTATACCCAATATTTAGATTCAGTACCATGCAGATTTTATTAACAAAAAGCAATTATCAAATTATGGTCGAGGTAGTAATACAAGTACCTGATGCAATTAACTTAAATAAAACTTTTTAGTATATGAAAGATTTTATTACAGACAATTAAATCAGGCAGCAAGAGTAACCTCAAACGGAATGGATTATTTTGCTAATTGCCAGCAACAATTGCAATGTGTTAAATTTCCCAATAAAAGTTGTTGACTACTGTTTACATAATAGGCAAATAACGGCTCTTAGCTTCAAAATAGAAATAAAATCATACATACAGTCAGTTTGGCAATTTGATGCTTAAATAGCTGGGTTATGTTTTGGAAATAGGGTGATAGCAATTAAAAAATTTTTTTCGTCTTTTACTGTTTTGACTCTGAGAAGCTCCGGAGCCACTTAACATGTTTTCAGGACGAAACCGTTAACTTTTTATGGAATAAATGCAGTATATCAAGCTACCCTACTGTACCGACCTAACCCAGCCCCACCAGTTGGCTGTTACTGTTCAGCTTTGCAGATTTTATCAGGTCACCCTTGATTTCTGCTTCTCTTTCTCCACATCTTACCTATCAGCCAAGGCTGTTGGCTCTATATTCATAATGTATCCAGAATCTGACCATGTCTTATCATCTTTACTACTGCCATCTGCTCCAGGCCATGCCTCCTGTCACCTGGTTATCACAATCAGCCTCCTTACTGGGCTAGTTCCTTCTTCCTCTGACTCCACAATCCTCACAGCAATCAGAACTCTGAAGTGGCTCCCCATGTTACTCCGAATCAAAGCCCAAGTCTTGACAAGTGGCTTACAACCCTATGTGATTTTGCACCATTGGCCCCCCCGACCTCATTTCTCCCCATTTTCTCCCTTACTTGTTAAGCTCTGAGTACAATGGCCTCCTGGCTGTTTCTAGCACACACTTGGTCTCATGGTCTGTTTCCTCTACCTGGATGCCCCTCCCCCAAGATCAGAACATGATTTACTGCCTCATTTCTTTCAAGTCTTTGCTTAAATGTTACCTTCTCTTGAGACATCCCCTTACCACCCAGCATAACCTCTGCCACCCACCACCAACTGGTACACCCTATCCTTTTCCCACTATTTTTTTTTTCATGTTACTATTGCCACTGACATACTTTATTTTACTTGTTTACTGTTTGTGTTCTCCACTAGAATGCAAGCTCCATGAGGGCAAGGATTTTTTACTCGATTTTTTTTTTATGTGCCCGATAAATACATGTTGGATTAATGAGTGAGTAGCTGGGGCTTTCTCCTTTCCCTGGGAAATAAAAAAAGAAAACCGACAATCTTGTGAATACACTAAAAACCAGTGAATTGTACACTTTCAAGGGTTATCTTATGGCATGTGATTTATATCTCAATAAGCATTATTGATCGTCAACAAACTGAAGATGGATTGCAGAGAGAAATGCTCTCAGATCTGTGTCTTACAACTTGAGGAGACATGATGGACCTGACCTTTATGTGCTGGGACGGGTGGATAAAAACAAACAGGATTCCAGGAAACACTCTAATCCTGTAGGAGTTATCACCCAAATGCTGACTCATTCATCATGGACTAGAATCACTCTGGTCTCTTGGAATCAATGTTTTGAGGCCTCTTTCTTACCACTTCAATTTCTCTCCTTGTTTGGCCCATTCACTCATATACTGAAAGAAAGTATAAATGTGCCTTTTTGAAATGTGTGTTGAAAAACCTCTAACCCTCTCTTAGCCATTCCAGAGGCCGGAAATGAGGATGGCTGCCACCGCTGTTAAGCAGTACTTGTAGACTGTCCAGTGCCACGAAACTGTGTGGTGCACAGTAATGTTGGAGCCCTGAATCCTCATGTGCTCACCAGGGTTTGAACAAAACCCAGACAACTGGAGTTTCCAAAAGAATGTGTTACTGATTCATGAATTTATGGATTGCGCCATGAGATGGAATATGGAGTCCTGAACATGAAGTTCTGGTGAGGCAAATGAAGCCTGATTGTGAAATAAAAATACACACTAACGTAAGTGGAGTAGCCAGCCAACTTAATTAGACCTCTCGTTGCCTGGATTTAGAAAAGAGCGAGTTGGTAATAAATAATAACATCACCTTATATTTATACGGTTCTTCGGGTTTTTTTCCTCCAATTTAAAAATTGTGCTAAAATGCACAAATGTAAAATTTACTGTCTTAACCGTTTTGTAAGAGGTTAATGTTGACACATTCATAACGTACAATCATCACCGCCATCGAGTTCCAGAACTCTTTTTGTCTTGTAAAACTGAAATTCTACGCCCATTAAACAAAAACTCCCCATCTCCCCCTACTCCCAAGTCCCTGGCAACCAGCATTCTGCCTCAAGGATTTTTTTTTTTTTTAATTTAATTTTATTTTTTTTTCAACGTTTATTTATTTTTGGGACAGAGAGAGACAGAGCATGAACAGGGGAGGGGCAGAGAGAGAGGGAGACACAGAATCGGAAACAGGCTCCAGGCTCTGAGCCATCAGCCCAGAGCCCGACGCGGGGCTCGAACTCACGGACCGCGAGATCGTGACCTGACTGAAGTTGGACGCTTAACCGACTGCGCCACCCAGGCGCCCCCTGCCTCAAGGATTTTGACTAAGTACTTCATTTAAGTGAATCATACGGTATTTGTCTTTTTGTGACCGGCCCATTTCAAATAGTATGATGTTTTCAGGGTTCATCCACGTTGTAGCCTGTCTCAGAATTTCTTTCTTTTTGGTGCTGGGTGATACTGCATTGTATGTATAAACCACATTTTACTTATCCTTTCACCTGTTCATGAACTCTTGGGTTGCTTCTACACTTTGGTTATCGTGAAAAATGCTGCCGTGATCGCGGATGTACAAGTATCTCTTAGAGACCCTGCTTTCAGTTCTTTTGTTTATACCTCAAAGGGAAATCACTGGATCATATGGTAGTTTTATGTTCTTGTGTTTTGAGGAACCACCATACTGTTTTTGGAATGGCTGCACCATTTTACGTGGCCATTAACAGCGCTCAAGGGGTCTAGCATCTGCATGTTGTCACCAACCTTGTTATTTTCAGTTTCTTTCGATGGTACTCATTCTAATGGGTGTGAAGTGGCATCTCGTCGCAGCTTTGATTTGCGTTTCCCTAATGGTTGGGGATGTTGACAACTGTTTGTGTGCTTGTTGGCCACTTGGAGATCTTCTGTGAAGAAATGTCTATTCAAGTCCTTTGCCTGGTTTTTTAGCAGGTGGTTTTCTTGTTGAATTCTTGGAGTCACGTATACTTTCTGGATATTAATCTCTTATCAGCTATGATTTGCAAATATTTTATCCCATTTTTTTGTACTTTGTTGACAGTGCCTTTGATGCACAAGATTTTTAAATATTCATGAAGACTAATTTGTCTATTTTTCTTTTGTTGTCTGTGCCTTTGGGTGTCATATCCAAGAAATCATTGCCAAATCCAATGTCATTCAGCTTTTGTCGTATGTTTTCCCCTAAGAGTTTTATAGTTTTAGGTCTCACATTTAGATCTTTGGTCCATTTGAGTTAAATTTTGTTTATGGTGTTAGGTGAGGGTACAGCTTTGTTCTTTTGCATGTGGATATGCTCTTCTCCCAGCACCATTTGTTTTTTTTTTTTTTTTTTTTTTTTTTTTTTTTTTTTTTTTTTTTTTTTGAACGTTTATTTATTTTTGGGACAGAGAGAGACAGAGCATGAACGGGGGAGGGGCAGAGAGAGAGGGAGACACAGAACCGGAAACAGGCTCCAGGCTCTGAGCCATCAGCCCAGAGCCTGACGCGGGGCTCGAACTCACGGACCGCGAGATCGTGACCTGGCCGAAGTCGGACGCTCAACCGACTGCGCCACCCAGGCGCCCCACCAGCACCATTTGTTTAAGAGTCTGTCTTTTCCCTATTGAATGGTCTTGGCACCGTGGTCAAAAATGATTTGACCATATATGTAAGGGTTCATTTCTGGGCACTCTATTCTGTTCCATGTATGTTTCTGTCGATGTATGTTTCTCTGCCAATTCCACACTACTTTGATTACTATAGCTTTGTAGTAATTTGTTTTTTTACTTTTAGATCAGGAACTGTGTGTCCTCCAGCTCTCCTCTTCTTTTTCAAGACTGTTTTGGCTATTTGGTGTCCCTTGAGATTTCACATAAATTTTTGGATGCGTTTTTCAATTTCTGCAAAGAACATCATTAGAATTTTGATAGGTATTGTATTGAATCTATAGATTGCTTTAGGTAGTATTGAGATCTTTTTAAAAATAGACTTTATTTTACTTATTTATTTTTGAGACAGAGAGAGAGAGAGAGAGAGAGAGAGAGAGAGAGAGAGAGAGAGTGAGCATGCGAATGCCTGCAAGTGGGGGAGGGGCAAAGAGAGAGATAGAGAGAATCTTAAGCAGGCTCCACCATGAGATCGTGACCTGAGCCGAAATCAAGTGTCTGACTTTTAACTAACTGAGCCACCCAGGTGCCCTGGTATTGACATCGTAAAAGTATTAAGTCTTCCAGAGGCACCTGGGTGGCTCAGTCGGTTGAGCATCTGACTCTTGATTTCGGCTCAGGTAATGACCCAGGGTCATGGGATCCAGCTATGTATCAGCCTCTGTGCTAAGTGTGCAGTCTCCTTGGGATTCTCTCTCTCTCTCTGTCTCTCTGTCTCTCTGTCTCTCTCTGTCTCTCTCTCTCTCTCTCTCTCTATATATATATGTGTGTGTGTGTGTGTGTGTGTGTATTATATATAATATATATATATAATAAAATGAAAAAAATACTAAGTCTTCCAGTTTATCAATATGGAATACATTTCTACTTATTTATGCCTCCTTCAGTTTCTTTCAGCAATATTCTGTAGTTTTCATTGTATAAGTCTTTAGCCTCCTTGATTAAATTAATTCCTAAGTATTTTATTCTTTTTGATGCTATTGTAAATGGAATTGTTTTCTTAATTTCCTCTTTAGACTGTATGTTCTTCATGTATAAAGATGCAAGTGATTTTTGCCTGTTGACGTTGTATCCTATTTGGCTGAATTCATTTATTCATTCTAACAATTTGGTTGTGTAATCTTTAGGATTTTCTACGTATAAGAGCATACCATCTGCAAACAGATAATTTTACTTCTTCCTTCCATTTTAGATGAATTTTATTTACCTCCCTTGCCTAATTCCTCTGGCTAGAACTTCCAGTGCTATGTTGAATAGAAGTGGTAAAAACAGATGGGCATCCTTGTCTTGTTCCTGACCCTAAGGAGAAACTTTCAGTCTTTCACCATTGAGCAGGAGGTTTGCTGTAAGATTTCATATATGGTTTTTATTATGTTCAGGTAGTTTCCTTCTATTCCTAGTTTGCTGAGTATTTTTTATCATGAAAGGGTACTAAATTTTGCCAAATGATTTTTCTGCATCACTTGAGATGATGTTTGTTTTTTCCTCCCTTTATTCTATTAACATGGTATATTACATTAGTCGATTTTTGCATGTTCAACCATTTTTCCATTCCAGGAGTAAATCCCACTTGGTCATGTTGTATAATTACTTTTAATCTGCTTCTGAATTCAATTTCCTAATATTCTGTGGAAGAGTTTTGCATCCACATTTATATGGGATATTGTATTGTTAGGCGACACTGTAGTTTTCTTTTCCTGTGGTGCCTTTGTCTAATTTGGGCTCTGGGTAACGCTGGCCTTACAGGATGATTTAAGAAGCATTCCCTTATCTTTAGTTTTTGGGAAAAGTTTGAGAAGGTTTGATATTGGTTCTTCTTTAAATGTTTGGTGGAATTCACCAGAGAAGCCATCAGACCCAGGGCTTTTTGTTGTCAGGCGATTTTTGATTACTGATTAAATCTCTATACTAGTTACAGGTCTATTCAGATTTACTTTTCCTTCAATGTCTTGGTAGGCTTTGCGTGTCTAGAATTTGTCCACGTCAGCTAGGTTATCCAATTTGTTGGCATACAATTGTCCATAGAACTTTCCTATATATTTTTTTTTATCTCAATAACATTGATTACCTCAGAGAAAGAAAACCCGGTAAGTGGTGATGAGAGACCGAAGTGAGTGTGACAGTTTTGTTCTGTTGAAATCCTTACTCTGTGCCCCTATGTAAATAAGTCAGAAATTAGTGAAACAGGCTGTTTGGAAGATTGAACATAGATAACATCGATATTTAACGAGAAGCTGCAGTCATCTCCCAACCCATTCCTTGCTCTCTGCTTTCTGTTCCGGGTCATCCTTCCCCCCAGCTGGGGAGGATCAGCTTCCTGAAGCATGGGTCCGAGTGTACATTCACCCTCTCAGAATCCTCCTTCACAGTCCACTCATCCTCTGTGGAATAAAAGCCTGGCTTCCTCATTGAGGGATTTCAAGCCATCACACTGCAGTTCTTGTCCATAACCCTCTCCTCCGACCCCAGCACACCTGGGAGTCAGAGGAGGGTTTTTCTCTACACACGACACCTCAGCATCTCGTGTGTCCCGTGAGCTTACTATTCCTCTGTCTGGATTAGCTCCTCATCTGCCTTACACAAGCCTCTCCATCTCTCAACGTTCAGCTCATGGGTCAC